TTCTCACTCCACTTTAACCATTGTCATTGAATCCATTTCTTTAAATAAATTTCAAACTTTTTTGGACTGTTTTCCACAGTAAAAACAGTGTTGGGATGTTCAGAGTAGTAATAATAAGTATAGAAAGAATGATGGTTTGCCAGAGGTTGGGTCAGGTGGGAGGAATGGAAAGATTTGACATTATGTATAATAATAGTTGTTGATTGTTTAGTCTTACAAGATGAAAGGAGTCATGAAGATGCATGGTGGTGATGGTCCTAGGACCTTGAGAGAAAAGATGATAAATTTGATATAGTATTTATTTTATGAAAATCAATTTTAAAATACTAAAAACACCAGTATATAATATATATATGATTTATAGTGCTTGTTAAAGTGAAACATATAGTGACAAAATAATGAGCAATTTTATTCCAGTAACAGGTTGAGACCTGAATCAATTATGGCCAATCTGTGCTAACGTAGAAGAAAATACTGATGTCTTAGTATTAGCAGAATGTTCTCAGAATAAATTGTTCCTAGAAAGAGAGCATGTGCTTCAGACAATAACTATTGTCCTCCTATTTCTTCATCTTTACCCCCACCATCTTCTCAGGGTACACATTGACCGGATAGACTTCCCATCTTCTAAATTTGTTCCCTTTCGGAAAGGTTTTTAAAGCTTCTACGAAAGGCCCATAACATGAATGATACGGCAAGTTGTTGCCAGAATAAATTGTATCCCAACATATTTCGTGATCTTGTCCACCTTTCCTGAGAGACCAAATCATGCTTTACTGTTGCATCATTTTCATTGGACTAGAGGCCTAGCATGTGCCTTGAAAAAAAGTTCAGCGTATTTTAATTTTAAACAAAACTCTTAGTTTTGAAATTTTAAATATCCATAATGTGGTATCTCCACCTAAAAGTTAAGACAGTTGCTCTCCCCTGTCATGAAAAGTGTGCCTAGGAAACTAAGAAACATTTAGAATTGCCTTAAAGAAACTTATTAGAATATTTTAGAAAATTTTTTGCTCAGCCAGAAAAAATACTCAAGAGACCTATCACTTGGTAGTCTGAGCATTCTACTGCCACCTAATGTCTAGAATTTTCAGACACTGAAAGGATAGAATATACTCAAGGTTAAAACCTTGAGCAGTATACTTTGACCTGATAGACTTCTGAATTTTTGGTCCCTTTTGCAAAAGCTTTTAAGTTATGAGAAATCACTCATCATATGCAGTTTCCTGGAAGGGACAACCCTTTTGGAAACATCACCTGATTTTGTGTGTGAGGCCTTTGTTGTCCCACCTCACAAGTACTTAGGAAAATGGGCCCACAAAAGTTGCAGTGACCCCAATCTTCATTGGCAAAAATGGGAGTCCTTTGAAATTTCTAAATGGGAGCCCTTCTTCAAGAGACAGACAGCTCCATGACTCCTGCGATCTAGCCATTTGGGAAAAAGGAAGATGTCCCACTGATAACTGGGCCTCCAGCATACAAAACTCGTGTGTTTCGGAAGAAACTGATCATCCACCAGATGACTAGAAATCGCTGCAGGAGCACAAGAAATATGGGAAAGCAGGAAAATACCTCTCCCACAAGGGAAACAGATAGCTGCTCTTCATCCACACACCACATTCTTAACCATGCTCTTTAACCTCCATCTCCATCCCCACAGAAGATAATACAACGGACTTCAGCTGTAACCAGTTGTAACTTTAACCACCCTAGTTTGGCTATCCTGTCATGTAAAGCCTGTAACAGAGCAATACTAGCCTTAGAATATAACCTCTGAACCAAAACTGATGTTGTAAATGATTTTTCAGACCCAACTGAGGTCCCATATGTGTTGCTAGGGAATTCAATTTAAATGTGTAAACTTGTGAGCCTACATATTGAGACCTTTATCAGCTGACTCAAGTTAGTTCCAAGAGAGTGCCCCAGAATGGATAAAATTGTTTATTGAAACTGTGGTATAGATTTTAATTAAGAACCCAGGAAAATGATAACAAGTCTGCCTCTTAAGAAAAGTTCTTGATGCAGCTATAACATAACCATTTCCAAGAAATGTTGAAGTAAATTTCAACAATAGAAACAGAGGCTGGATTGATGATTCATTGATTATTTTGAATGGTTGAGAGAAAACTTTAAATGATATTCTAGACAGAGGCAAGCTATCAAATTTATTGAAATGATTGCCTCTTAAATTCTATCTTCTTTAATGGATTGAATGAAGGTTTTGTTATTTTAATTAAGCCACCAAATTATCTGGGAAACTGTCCAGATTCATGACCTTGTTAATCTGGCCAGTCACTCCCCCATAGAGAACATGTGCT